TTCGAATTTTTCAAAAAAAGTTTGAAAGCCTGAGAGCCCTTCTATATGTGATTAAATTTTCAAGTATCTAAGGGCCTTGGTTTTTGCTGTACAAAATTTTGAAAATTTGCAATTTTTTCTTCAAAATCTGGATTGCAAAATTATTATGCAAAATCTATAGAACCGATTTTGATGAAATTTGGTATGATGATTTTACATGACATGTAGTTTTCTTGAGCCAATTTAAATACCCCAAAAAAAATCCGATTTGTAACTACTAATGTTTTGTAAAATATTTAATTACAGACATTTTTTTCCTCTTCTATTTTCGCCTAGAATCAACTTGAAAAGATACATAATTAAATAGGAAGAAAAATATGACATTTTTCGAATTTTTTTAACATATTATGTCGCCCACGTTTTTTTTATGCGCATGGAAAAATTTTCATTTCTAAAATCTCCGTGGATATACGATTCACCCAAATATGGTTTTTTGAAACAGATACCGTCTGGACTAAAATCACAGAAGATGAAACTGATGAAACTCAGCGGAAATATAAAGGAATAAATAAAAAGAAACATGAGCCATGTAAAAACTGCATCATATGTTGTTACAGGATTTTAAATAGATACAATCTATTGACAAACGTATTTCTCTTTGCATCAGTAGCATATAAATACGTATTATCTCTATCGTTTACACAAGTAGCTTGTGAGAGATCGTTTAGCACTTTGAAGTTTTTAAAAAATCGTTTGAGAAGTTCGCTGACTCAGGAAAAACTAGAGACTTTTATGTTAATGGCATTAAATGTAGACATTTTAAATAGTTTGTCATTAGATGATGTAATTAATGAATTAGTTTTAAAAAGTACACTTTTAAAAAAATCTCCTTTTATATTAAATTGGAATTTTTTGATTATACTTAGCTCTACAACACAATATTTTCGATTAATACAAAATATATATTTTAATGATTATTTATTTATTAAAAATAATAATGCTTTAACTTCTTATACCTTCCAACTACTACTTATCCATTTTAAAAAAATCTAAATTATTTTAATTTAAGATTTTAATTTTTATCTACAAACAAATTGTGATATTAATTATTTTTAAAACAATATCAAATTATCTATGGCAAACTTTTTTCAAATATTTCAAATAAATCATTCACGAAGAGCCTATTTAAAATAAAATAAATTCTGAAACTTTCAAAAAACGGGCCGCTTGATGAATGTTTCCCGGGCC